GTTTCATTGGAGATCATAAGTCACAAGGAGTGGATGCATCTGCGCCATTGAGAACGATTTTGAGCCATCTCACCAGTTGTTTCCAACCATAGATTTTTACCGTCCCGAGGACCCCAACCAGCCAGTCAGGAAGTCTACACCTTCCTACGTGGCTTAGACCAACTGTTGTGGATTTCATTGACTGAGGCCAAGTTTTTGTTTGACCTCCGCTAGCTTTTTTCCAGCCTGACCCTATATCAGCTAACATTCTCGTCGAGGAGGCGATGGCGTCTGGCCCTATTAAGGCAATTAACTTGAGATTCTAGTGGGAAGTCGTAACCAGTAGGGCACGTGAGGTTGAAGGTGAGACAGTAACTCATCGAAGATGACATTGAGAAGTGGTCGCGCTATGTCGTGAACTGGCAGACGTTAGAATTCATGGACTGTCTGGCCATTGCATCGGATCTCAGTGGCTTAATGGTCAACGCGCTCGCTAGTATTGTAACCAGAAGGTCCTGAGTTGAAACCTTGGCTGGGTGGGTGTGTACTGATGAGGAGTCCCAAACTAGGGCGAAACAGCTGGTGGTCAAGTACTCCCTGTTGGTTTTCCAATGGTTCTCTAACTGAAGTCAGCTCATGATGAAATCCTCCAACCAATTAAAAATAATACAATTTACCAAATACCATGTAATGATTTTGAGGCCAATCACATAGACCAAACTAAGTAGATCGGGGTCAACTAGATTATTGGAACATAAAAATTTAGCTAGCTAGACCTCAAATAAATGACCCTGCTGAGTTAAATAACGTAGAAAAAAGCTCCGCTATTGCATTGCGCTGCATTCACTTGCATGCAATCACAAAATAGGGTGGGACAGGGTGAGAGTAATATATAGTTAGGTGGAGATACAGGTTATTCACTGAAGCTTTTTTCATCGATGCAACACTCTACACAAGTGCGATCGAAATGACACAACGTCTACACTGAAGATATGAAAAGTGGCGACAAACAACAAAAAGAAGTTGGGAAGACAAAAATAGAGAGAAAATATATATGTATAAGACAAATTGTGAAAACATGTGACTAAAAATTGATATGATTATGAGTAGCAATAATAATAATTTATGCTCGAAACCTTGTCATCCAGTTGTTGATACACATGTCTGTCTGTTTTCGACATAGAACTTTACACAAATGTGCGGAAGTTCAAGTCGCCACACTCCGTGTAGCACGAGAAGCAAGAGAAGAAAGTACAAGAAAAGCATAATAGAGACAGTGAGCAGAGGTGTGAGACAAAGGAGTAATAAAGAAATACAAAACAGTTTCATTGGAGATCATAAGTCACAAGGAATGGATGCATTTGACCAGCCATTGAGAACGATTTTGAGCCATGTCACCAATTGTTTCCAACCATAGATTTTTACCGTCCCGAGGACCCCAACCAGTCAGGAAGTCTACACCTTCCTACGTGGCTTAGACCAACTGTTGTGGATTTCATTGACTGTGCCAAGTTTTTGTTTGACCTCCGCTAGCTTTTTTCCAGCCTGACCCTATATCCGCTAACATTGCTCGTCGAGGGAGGCGATGACTTGGCATACGTAACACATGTCCTAACCATCTCAATCTATGTAACTTCATAACCTCGTCGATTGATTTCCCCTGTTTACCTAGAAGTCGACGCCTAACCTCAATATTGCTCACCTTATTATGCCACTTTACACGGGAAATAGAGCGCAGGCACCTATGATCAAAGACAGCTAGCCTTTTTATGTCTTCCACTCTCAGTGGCCAGGTCTCACAGCCATAAAGGAGGACGGAGCGGACTGATGAGCAGTACACCCGCCCTTTGGTCGATAGTCGAACATCTCGTCTACGCCAGAGTCGGCGTAAACTGGCAAATGCGAAACGAGCCCCCTGTATCTAGCACAGTGTCCAAGTTCTACGCTTACATAAATGCTGCTTAATGATTTACCCTGTTAAGTTGAGTAATCTGGAGAATATTTTGGTGGAAATTACATACACATAAGATGTGCGTTGATTGTTCAGTGTTAGGATGCTCACCAGCCACGTCGGACGTGTTATGTAGGTTCGATTCCTCCCGTCTGATTGATGCACTTCATTTAGCCCGGATAAAGAGTGGAGGTTGACCATAGGGGCTAGCAACCATACCCTATAAAAATAAAACACCGTTGTTACCGACGCTTTATATATATAATGAGAAGTAGTGACCAGTAGGGTCGACTAGGTAGAGTTTAAGGAGAAATCCTCACCGACGACATTGGCTGACGCTGGTGTAGCATATTGTGAAGCACTAGAAGTTAGGATTCATCGGTTAGGGATTCCGGCTGAGGTGATTGACTGATTAACGATCTGACCTCGTAATATGACGATCTTGAAATCGATCCCCGGTGGTGTCATGAGTGTGCAACAACGCTAAAGAGATCTTAAGTAAGGCGAGACAGATGCTCAGTAATCCGTGGCATTCAGTGATTTTCTAACGAATATCAATCCATTATCACTCATGAAATCGATCTAATCTGTACAAACTAACATTTGAAGATCCATTTGCCATAGGATATATACAGATGTGTGTACTCACCAAAGCTAAACCAAGCAGTATTTATATTTATAATAAACTACCCAAAATATCTCAGATATTTCCTGAGCTTCTTCGACAGTCAACTCCTAAATATGTGCATGTTCATGTGTGTGTGTGTGTTGATACAAAGCGAATTTTAATATGGTTAACTGACGGATTAGCCGTACAACACAATTCAATTCAATGTTGTTTAGCTATTTTTATATTGTACAAGCTTTTCATCATAAAGTACATGTTTGAACAAGTAACACAACTAACTAACTAACCAACTGTCTGTGCATAAACAAAGACTTGAATGATATTTTAGAAAAGTATGAATAAAATGCTTAAGAGCTTATTGGTTATCACAAGAAAACATTTTTTGAATGAACTATGTATGTCCACATAACCATGTGACTCATTGGTGTAGGCAGTTAACTTTCAACCAGTTGTTCCAGGGTTGAGGTGGGATGAGGTGTGGTTGTTCGGATAGCGCATCACTCCACACCACTCCACCAACCAACGAACCGACGTTTCTCTGGGCAACTACGTGAGTGGTATCACCAGGTGTTTCTTACTGAATACCTCTGTGCCTCGAAGGGTGATACATTAGAAATGTGTTCTGGATGGAGAGTTGAGTTCTAATATTCGTATTTTTCATTCATTTGCGTTCCGAGTGCAACACAAGGCTTCAGAGTTTTAGCTTTTGATGTTCTGTAGGGAATTGTGTTGTTTTTACGAGGTAGTATTGCTAGTGCGTTGGTGGATCAGTGGTAGAACGTCCGTCAACCATGCATATGGTTAGGGGCTCGATTCTCGGCCGACGAGGCACTTATGAACCACGCTAAGCCAATAGTAAAGCTGATAAAGATGGAAGGCTGGGAATGAGACTAACAGCCCCTACTCCGTAAAAATAAAGCCATTTCCACTGAAATAAAATTCGCAATTTCTAATTGAACTCGTGATTTACAGTGTAGGCGAAGTTAAACGATAGCGTCGCAGGAGTGTGAACACTCCAATGACCTTGAACGCATGCTAGTCGTTAGCTAAAGATACTTGTTATTATCATAACTAATAGAGAAGATATTTAGCTCAGGTGGATGATTTGCAATTTATAGTGTTCTCTGAGCTGGTTGGTTTTACTCGCGGAACTTTCGTTTTCCTTTTGGACAAAATTCAGCAACTCAAGGATTGTCTTGTTACCATTAGGGAATAATCTCAGTGACGTAGAATATGCAGACGATATGATATAGTCCTTGTAAGTGAAGACGCTGACAAAAAGCAGAGTCTTCTGAACACCTTGAGCTGTAATCTGACAATGTTTGCTTACGATTCGCTCCTGCTGTGAAATGTAAGATAATGACACAAGACTAGACTGGACTACATTGACTCCTAGCTTAGAACTAGGGAGTGAAGTGGTGACTGAACGTGTGGACCACTTCACCTACTTGGAAGTTGCATTAGTCAACGCCAACGGCTTGATTGCTGACGAAATCTTAGCATTGATACTGAAGGCTCGTTTGGCATTCATCAACCAAGAGTGAAGGGCGTGTGTACTGCTCAGCAATCCGCTCTGTCATCATTTATGACTGTGAGTGAGACCTGGCCATTGAAAGTGGAAGACATGGAAAGCCTGGCTAACTGTCTTTGATTATAGGTGACTCCAGTGTTCGGTAGTAAGTGTAACAGGATGAGCAATATTGAGGTTGGGCATCGGTCGAGTTCTAGGTAGATGGGAGGAGGTTGTGAAGCAACTGCATCGGTTGAGATGGTTAGGACATGTGTTACGCATGCCTAGTCTTGCAATCGCCTTCCCTCAACAACAGGCAGTGCTAATGAACATAGGATTGATCAAGTTGGAAAAGAGTCCGCCAGTGGTGTTCAAACCAGAACATGGCTTCATCAATCAATGAAATCCACAAAAGTTAGTAAAAGCCAGCGAGTCATGTAGGAAGGTGTAGACTGCCTAAGTGACTGTTTGGGGTATTTAGGACGGTAAAAACCAATGAAGACTGAAGACACTTGGTGACATGGCTCAAAATCCTCGTTCTCAATGCCTGGCGGAGGTGCATCCACTCTTCGTGACTTATAATACCGAATAAGGCTATATTGTTCTTCGATATTTCTATACTTTTTGCCTCATTTGTCTGTTTACTGTCTCTGTTTTGAATCTCTTTTTACAGTATTTTGTTGCTTTGTGTGCTACATGGAGGGAGTGTGGCGACTGGAACTGGTGTATATCGGTTCAGCAAAGTTCTATTTTGAAACCAATCAGTCACATTATTGAGTACTATGTTTGAATAAATGTTAAATAATCTTCATAATAACTACAGTAATTAATAGTTTCACTAGTTAGAGAAATGTTTATTCATCGCTGCATATTTCATTTTGCTATTTTCTCTCTCTCTCTCTCTGTTTCTCTCATATACCTACCTATATTAGGATTGGAAGAAAAGATATTGCATTTTGTACAAAGTACGCAGAGAAAATAAAACAGAAATATTTTTTGATTATTTTAAAGATGAATCGTTTTCTAAATTTAAAGGTAAAGTTTTTATAAATTTTCTTTTATTATATCCAAGTGTTATTGAAATTTATTTTTTCTATTTAATGACCAATTTTAAGTATCATTGAAGAAAGTGTTGGTGTGTGTGTGGTGTGTGTGCACAGTGAAACAGTGCTCAGAGAAATTCATGTATGAGTTGTACGTGTACACGTGCACTCTAAGGAGATATGAGGTTCTTAATTATTTCACTGGTGTCCAGTGGACAGTTTTGTGATAGCAGCGTTGTTTCTAATTCTAGTAGACTGGAAATGATATCAAGACTTTCGGTAATAAGGGTTACTAGTATATAACCATCCACAGAAGCAGTAACACCAGAAAGCAAGATATAGAAGCCAAGGCATATTTTTAATTGATCAAACCGCTGTTTATATGTATATGCAGTTTTATATTCTTTAAGTAATCACTGAGCGTGTGATTCTGGTTTACTACATTAAACGACATGAAATAGAATGTTCAGAAATACATATATAGTATTTTGTTGCTAGTGCACTATTCAACTGTGGTGGGAATGTATTATTATTATTATTATATCCTTTAATTCCTAGAGGAACATAGGGCTTCAGCCGCCCAAGTCTCCATTGCGTTCATTTTTCTGCAAAGTTTTCACCTCGCTACAAGTCTGCCCACATGCTTTCATCTCCTCTTCACATTACCTCCTCCAAATCATCCTTGAACTGACGACCAACTCGCCGATTCCCTTTCGGTCCGGTTCCACTCGAGCAACGGCTTGTCTACTGATGTCACTTACTGATTTCCTCAGAGTATGGCCAATCCATCTCCATTTCTTCCTGCCTATTTGTTTTACAATCGGTTCCTGGTTGGTTGGTTCGCTCATTTCCAGAGATCCCTGTTTCTGATCTTTTCTCTGGCCATCTGATCTTGAGTATTGAGCGAAGACAACTGTTGATGAAGGTCTGTAGTGTGTTCGAAGTGGCCTTCGTGACGAGGCACCAAGTTTCTGATCCGTAAAGTAGCACTGACTTCACATTGGAGTTGAAAATCCGGATCTTATTTTCATTTCGATGCTGAGTGCTGTTGACCTGGACACAGACTTGAGAGTAATGAAAGCTTGTCTTGCTTTTCCGATTCTGGCTTTGATATCCTCGTCAGTTCCATTGGCCTGTAGTTGAAACGATGCTTCCCAGGTAGGTAAAGGAGGTTGTTTCTTTCAGGTTCCTCTCATTTATGCTGGCTGATTGTTGTCTGTTGTTGTTGTTGCTGTTGGTGTTGGCCAAGAATCTTCATCACCTCTGTTTTATCTATGTTCGCCTGTAGTCCTATCTTTGATGCTTCTTCCTCTGTCGACTTCTTGATTTTCACTCGCATGTCTTCCAGTCTGTGGGAAATCAGAGATATATTCTCGGCGAAGTCCAGACTCTCCAAGTTTGTTTTGTGTCCATTTTATGCCTGTTTCCTCATTTCCCGTTGTCTGTCGCATTATCCAATCTACTACAATCAAGAAGATCATTGGCGATAGAAGACAGCCTTGCCTCACTTCCGTCCTGACTTCGAAGGCTTCCGTAAGTTTCCCGTTGTGGATTACTTGGCATGCAGCATTGTCGTATAACTGTTGGATGAGATGTATAATTGTTGGCGGCACCCCTTCGTAGTAGCGAATTAGTTGCCAAATGACTTCTCGATCGACGCTGTCTGCTGAATGCCTTTTGAAAGTCGATGAAGTTGAGAGTAATATTCCATTGACCCACACTGTCAGTATCACACTACCACAACAGTAGTTTATTATTTATTATTTATTTTTCCTTCACGTTCCGTTCCTAGTGGAACATAGGGCTTCAAGCTAGAGACTTGAAGTTTCTGTAGCAGTGTGCTTAGTTTTACAGGATGGGGTTGCTAGCCTTATGCCCAACCTTTCCTTTTCACTAGCTTTACTTCTGGCTGAGTTAAGGTAAAGGAGTGCACCGACCGGGGGTCGAACCCCGGACCATTAACATGGTCGGTGAGCGTCCTAACTGCTATGCCACCGACGCACAAAGGAGTAGTGCAGTAATATGCCAACTTATTGAGTCTTTACTATAGATCCTATTTTTTTTTGCTACAGATGAGTTACAAAAAACGCTTAGAAGTCACTTGTTAGTTATTTCTTTATCATCGTGTGTGTGTGTGATACCACTGGTGTATGAGTTGTCGCCTGTAATCTCACCATTTGAATTGTGATTTATATTTTTAGTTTTTCTTAGCATCGTTTTTTCTCACACGTTACTTTAATACGTTAATTATGCGATAGAGAGTTTGAGAAAATGGCAAAGCCTCTTATTTTTCCAGCCTTCATAAATCTTATCTTGGTATTCATTTAAAAAAAATTTGTTTTGCTTTTCTATTACGTAATAAATAATAATAATAATGGCAGCATCATTAATATCATTCATTGGAGATTGTGATTGTCAATTTCATTCTTTTTATTTTATTTCACATTAATGCACTTGGCAACGAACGTGTTGCAACTGTTATATGCGAACTGATGATGCTGGGTGGAGGTGACTTCGCAGCTATAATTATTACTATTATTATTATGACGATTGTTCCATTGAGTTTCGAGTCTAGCAGATCGTTTTGTGAAGCACATCTCCAGTCGTTTTCGACCTCCTTAGTCTCTTTTTAAATCGAACCTTCTGTATCTCAGCATATGCCAGTTTACACCGTCTTTGGCGTAGACGTGATATCTGGCTGTCCAACAACCAAAAAGCATGTGTACTACCCAGCAGTCCGCTCCGTCCTCCTTCATGGCTAACTGTGAAACCTGGCTATTCAAAGTGGCAGACAACGAAAGGCTGCCTAACTGTCTTTAATCGTAGGTGCCTGCGTTCCATCGCCCTCCCATGTGAAGTGGTAGGTGTAATAGGGTGAGCAATATCGAGGTTAGTTGTCGGTCGAGTGCTAGGTAGGTGGGAGGGGAAATCAAGAGGCGAGGAGGTTGTGAAGCAGGTGAATCGATTGAGGTGGTTAGGACATGCGTTACGCATGCCTTACCTAGCAATCACCCTCCTCAATAACAGGCAGCGTTAGCTGATATAGGATTGATCAGGTTGGAAAAGAGCTAGTTAGTGGTTGTCAACCCAAAATATGGCTTCATCAGTCGATGAAATCCACAACAGTTAGTAAAAGCCAGCCAGTCATGTAGGGAGGTGTAGACTGCCTGACTGACTGGTTGGGGTCTCGAGACAGTTAGAACCAATGAGGTCTGGAGACAATCGGTGGTGATATGGCTCAGAATCTTCGTTTTCAATGGCTGGTGCAGATGCATGCACGCTTTGTGACTTAGGATATCCAATAAAACAATATTGTCTCTCCATATCACTATTCTTTTCTCCTTACTCACACTTCTGTTTATCTCTGCTTTTAATCTCATTTTACTTCTCTTTCTTTGTGTGCTAAATGAAGGGAGTGTGGCGATCGGAACTGCTGCACATCTGTGCAGAATTCTCCGTTAAAACCAGTCAGTAAATCTTTACCGAGATTATTACCACTGGTTACGTAGGTTTAGGTGTGTGTGTGTGTGTGTGTGTTGACGGCGAATCGAACTCCAAACCACTCGCATGCCTCTGGTGAGTACTCTGCCATTGAAGAACCGCTGACACATCGATATGGATTTCATCCTATATGGTACTTTCATTTATCGTATTCCAATGTGTGATAGTGTTTCCACTGAGATGTGAATTCGATAACCAATCTGAAGAGGGATCTCTCCAGCGGTATGTGCACCACAGGATGGTACTCCACTCCGTAATTGTTTTGTATGAAACTAGGATAAGTGTGTTTGATTCTTTTGAAAGCTCATTATATAAATCACCCAGTCTGTAGGTCAACAGAGTCATAGAGTCAATAATTTAAATGCTTCTTCCTCTATTCCTTATTTCAGAAAAAAATAGTGAATACCATCCGCTTTTAATGTTTTACAAGTACAATTCAGAATTTGTTTCAATTACCCAAAGGTGTTAGTGATAGCAAAACTCTTTATTCGTAGGTTTTATCTGTGTGTGTGTGTGTGTGTTTATGTATAGCGTCAATATTCCTCACTATTATTTTTTTCTCTCTGTCTTTCTCATACAAACCCGCACACTCACCATTTACATTTTTTTATATTCGCTTGTGTTTATAACATATACCTAAAATCGATTGATGCTGTTGTGTGTTATGCAATGAGAGAATCTGATCGATATATCGAAATCGTGAAAACAACACCAGCAACAACTGATGTATCATTATTGTTGCATAATCTTTTTCGCTTTCTCTCTCTCTCGCTGTCTCCCTCCGTCCCTCCCTCCCTCACTGTCCATCTTTTGAGTACACATATTAATAAGTAAATAATTAGTTTAGTCAGTCTATGTTGCTGATTATCGTATGCGTGCGTGCGTGTGTGTGTGTGTACAAAGTCTCATGTTACGAACACCAAAGTGTATCATTAGAGTATTTAGTCTGTTTTCGTCTTCCACCTCTCTCTCTCTCTCTGTATCTCCGTGTTTTTGTCGTAGATTTGTTATATTTCTAATTTACAGTGTATGTGTGTATTATTAGAGCATAAAGTACACAGGTTGGAAATGAGAAGCGTGTGAAAGAGACTGTTTTAACTGTTCAGTTTAGCCTAAAAAATTTCGTCTATCAGGTTACTAAAATGATGAGGTATTTTTAAGTGTTCGATTGTTGTGGAATGTCCAAATCGCAAAGATCCTGGACCTCTATCGATTGTTTTTTTTTAAGAAGGCTATAGCTAACACTCAGAATACTATGCGCGCAGTCTCCGACGAGGAATAACAGAAAACGGAAGGGCTATACGATTTTTTTTATTCTTTCACTGATTTTATATTATGATTATTATTCCCTTGTGTTCTGAGTGGAACATGGGGGGGGGGATAGCTGTAACAACACATTCCCACTTTGTTCTGTTTTCTGCCGTCCTCTTCACCTGGGTCAACGATTGACTAAACTCTCTCATCTCTCTTCCTCATACGATGTCCTCCATG